GAGTGGTTTTGGTCTGTCTCTGCCATGCCTGCCAGTTTTGCCAACATTTCTCTTTGACGAGGCCTTCACCAAGCCCAGCTGGGATCGGCCGGGTCAGATACAGCAAACCGCAGCCCCTCTGGCCTGTCCAGGATATGTGCACCCCCTCAGAGCGGGCAAAGGGAACTGGACACAGCTCTCTCCTTTCCCTTGGCCCCCAGCCCCTCTCTCACCCAGCACGTTCATGCCCCCCTTGAACTCCAGCTTCTTCTGGGTGATCGGCGCTGGTTCGGTCTGATTGCCCGGGGGAACTTCACCAGGATCGGCTGCGGGGGGCGCCGGAAGCTTCTTGATCACCGTTTGGACCTGCGAGGAGGGGTGGGCGAAGGAGACAGAGACAGGGAGGCAGGAAGAGAGAAATTGAGGGGAGAGAGTGCGGTCAGGACACACAGGAGAGTTAGTACACAACGTGGAACAGAGAGGGTTTGTGCGCTGATTATGTCACAACCCTGGCCAGTGCCCTCCGGAGACCACACCTCTCCGTGACCCCAGGCACAAAAGACGTTTTCTGCTCTATGAACACCCTATAAACCCTCTCCAGGCCCCTTCAACTTCCCCAGAGAAAATATACGATGACTAAGCTTCCCTGAAAATGCGATCGGTATTCTCTGCAGAGTTCAAAGGTTCACCTGTGGCCGTTCCCAGGTATCTGGAAGACCCGCTAAGCAAAGGAGAGAGGACAGCTGTACCGCCCTCATTGCGTCTTCATCAGCGTTACGGAGACGCGCGCGTGACTGGCACCATACTTCCAGGGTACTCGCTCCAGGGTTCGGAGTAATTCCCTACCCCTTCCCTGCCAGCCTGGCATTCCCGGTAAACAACCCTTCCAGAGCCTCCGCGTCTGCGGATCGTCGTAGGCTGATTACAGGCCGATCCCGGCTTCCAGAGAAACAAACTAGGACACGCATGGCTCGAGCCCAGATTACGGGACTGGTCTCTCGCCGGGCGAACAGGAGCGTTCACAAAACCTGCCCAAGGCCCCGGTGCCTGTCTACAGGCAGGGGGCGCTGTTGCACATGGTCAGGCGGGTACCTGTTGGAAGCAGGCCTGCACCAGGTTCTCCGGGAAGAGATTTCGGATGAGGTCCAGGAAGGCGTCCAGGCTGCTGACCTCCTGATTTCGGGGGGAAGCTACACTGGTCTGACTGCGCAGTTTGGGGTTCCCCGGGTGGATGCCCAGCACCAGGATGACCCCCAGGACAGCGGCGATCACCGTGGTGGACATGTAGTAGACCATGGCTCTGCTGCCCATCCGTCCACTGGAGCGAGCGTC